GTCTATTGGAGAGTGATCCTCTGAAGACTGTCCAATAGGTAGATTGAAAGTGGAGGAATATAAAAGGAGACCAAGGTGCCGAAAAGAAGAGAGTGTCCAGAATCATAAATTCCAAAGTGCAAGAGAACTTCGATTTTTCATACTTGTCTTTCGGAGCTACAAATTGTAATCCTTGAGAGGCAATGAAAGAGTGATTGTGTGATATAGTGAGACATATCACAAATCAAAGTATCATCACTCACATGTGTAACCTCTTATCGATTGACTAGTGAATACCAGGCAGTAGGCTGCTAGCGTGGAAGAGTGGACATAAGTTTGCTTTAAGTCGAACTATTATGAATTTTGTGTGCAATTTCTTCCATTTCTCAACTCTTGCTTATTACCTTTTAGAAGTTCGCACACTTGTGAATATCATTGTATCACTATCAATATTCAGATTCTAACTTCACTCGATTTTGATAATAATCAACTTGATTGTCTTACTTTCACATTAAAATTTCAAGTTGTTTTAAAATTACCTATTCACCTCTTCTAGGTGATATTTCTAGCTACAACAGGAAAAGTGTGATGCAAAACCTTGGATAGAGCATGAAAGCTGCGTAATCAGCTTAAATGACACATCATGGTCATGGGGATCACTTGAACATTCCTGGTAGAGCAACACTGGAACTCCGTCCTGGTTTTTTAGTGTTTCACATCCATGATCGCTAATTGTTAGTGGCTTGGTTGATCCTATCTTGCACACGCAAGTAAATTCTGAATTTACGACAATGGTGTTAGCTCGTTTGGCTAGACATAGATATCATGCTAATCTACTAAGCTTTTCAAATCATAAGATACAACTTCGACGTTATGGCCACTGGATTTTGAACCTAAACTGGTAAACTTTGCACTTCTTTTCCCTCTTGTTTACCGCGTGGTATTTCTTGGAATCAAGACATTGCTTGGTGAAAGAACCTGATGAATACTCGAAAGCATGATGCAATGAACTTTGCAAGCATGCCTTACCTTAATACACATGATTACATCTTAGAATGCCCTGATCCTTTCTGTACATGCTTCTTACTGTTCGAAATATACGCATAACTTACTTTATGTATTACTTGCAAGGTGGAATTTGTTGGGGTGTGGTTCATATTTCCCGACGACAGGAAGGCATAGGGGTCTCACTCCTCGGTGAGCGGGGGGGTTTTGGGAGCCGCCCTGGCGGGGGTCGTAGGGGCAGCGCCTCCTTGACGCCAGAGAGCTTTTGTAATTTAAGCCCGTATTTTATTGGTAATTTGGGTTTGGGTTAAAGAATAACTACTGAATGCCTATATATATTCTCTTTTTCTTGCAATTGAGAGTCATGTAAAAGAGAAATGTGAGGTGTTAATTATAGTAGAATTTTCTGCTAGACGTAACTCTAGTTTAAGGGTGAATCAAGATAAAAATTTTATGTATCAATTTCTTTTTCTTGCTTTTACTCTCTATTTCCTTGTATTTGTGTGTCGAATCCTAGCAGAACTGTTGCTCCGTTGAAGCGTGTTGTAGTTTTGAACAAGCTCCGAGTCTCGAGCAGCAAAGGAAGGCAGAGAGTGTTAGCCGGCATGAGAAAAAAAAGGCCTCTCTATAACCACTATAAGTCTTTAAACTCTCCTACCAATTAAAGGATAGTATCGAAAATTCTAAAGTGTCTTAAAAATATTATATTATGTAAGAAAAAAATCGAGATTACACTTGAAATAGTTTTGTAAAATTATTTTTTTCATATTTTGTCTAGGAATGGAATGGCCATTCTAGGAATAAGCACTCCCAAAATGAGCATTCCACCCTATTTCTAGGAAAAAGCAAAAGAAACCGAATCGCACACGGAATAACAATTCCTTTTCGAGTCAATTCCTTTTTACTACGTGTCCTCTACGATTTTTCTTGACCCCAGTGTAGAAAGCATAAATAGTCGGATTGGAAAAAAAGGGTTTGTGATCTTTGAAGGTGCCTTTTGAGGCGGAACTTTTCACTTTCAAACCCGTGTTCTCATTCTCGATTTGTTGTGTTTTCATTATAGAAAATAGTTATAACAAATTTTCTTTTTCAATTTCTCTTTTATTATTTGAAGACTATTCTCAAAATATCAATAGTTGTTTTTTTTGCATGATGCTTTTGTTTTCAAATGAAATTGCGAATAAAAAGCATAATTAGTCACTTGTCATACAATTGTGTCCGCCCTGTCCAGAGTGGATGAGAAAGAAATGTCGTATTGACGGCTTTATTAACTCGATCCATATGCGAATCAGGTCCATGAAAGCATTTGCTCTAAAAATGGCCGTGAGAAAAGAGCACCATGCGGAGTCAAGGTCAGTCATTGTAGTTGATTTGACAGTCAATGAGTCTTCTTTTGGTTAAAAACAATTGTAAAGTGACTCGCTTTATAATTGGGAAAAGCAAAATGGTCAAATTTTTTGGAAACACGCGACACACGGGTCTGAAATAAGATCTAGATAGAATTCCAATTTTAATCTCTTAACTAGCAGAAATTTCTAATAAGTATTTAAACTTTAAATTTTTCTACTCAAGTTATTGAAGTTGCATGAGTTCTCCAATCAAGTTTCTACTTCTCCAAATCCGATTAGTTGGACCTAAAGTATTCGTCGGAACCAGCAAGAGTTTTGACGTAGAATATGAAATCCTCTAAATTTTCAATGTACTTTAATATTGTTTTATGAATATTTCACATATATATAGAACATTTAGTTTTGAATTCTGTTTTTGTGAATAGTAAAATACGAGTTGATTTTAAAGGATGACTTCATAATTGATTGATGGCTTAACTCATGTCCTGATTTTTCTTCATTTCTTGGGTGATTTTGTTTTGATTTATCGAGTATCTACAGGACTTGATTAAGAATTTATGGTATTTGACTTAAATTTCTATGTTTTTTTTGGTTTTTTTTATCATATGACAAAAAAAAAAAAGACAATGGGGTTGAAAAACCTAACACCGGTGTTGACAAATTTCACGACTGTCTTGTGTCATAAGCTACACTAAGAGGAGGGAGAACTCCGATCTATGATAGAAATCCCACCTTTGAAAGGTGGGGGCGTCTTTGCACGGCAACAGCCACTGCCATGGGGAGGCAAATCTTCACACTTTGTGCGGGGGAAATGTACACACTTTGGATTTGTTTGTGTGGCCCAGTTCTTGATTTCTTCAAGACATAAATGTCAGTTAAAGATTAGCGGATCATCTTCTTTATTATCGCCCAAATTGGTCTATGGAGATCATTTGTCTACTAACATGGACCGGCATATTGCGTCATTTGTATCTAAATTTGCAAATTGATATTTTACCATGTAACAATAACATATATGTTTTATAAATTCCTAGGCTTTGATCAATTGCCTGTACTAAAGCTTTATCCTAACTCCAATGTTGTCCAAATGGATCGGGTTGTGTGAGATCGTCACAGATCGTCACTGTCGCGAACTAAAATTTCTTAGGCTAATGGATTATTAAGACTAAGCCTAACTTGGGCCCTCCCAAGCCCTACCAATTCGCGACTTAGGGTTTAAGTTTTTAACATGCAAAAGTTTTCATGCTTGCAGTCGCCACTAATCTATTTGTGGTAGGTCGATTATAAACCTAAATAAAACATAGGGAGATATATTTTATGCCTACGAACCAGAGATTCTAAGCTTGGAGACTTGGTTACGCTAAATCTAGTCTAACGCCCTTTCGGTACCTTTTCTTTTCAAAAATATTTATGCAGGCAGTTTGGATCCATTTTAACTTAGTCACTAGCATGTGAGGTGATCATGCGGGTGCGCAAACCACCAAAGTAACACTCAATAATCAAAACATTAAATAAATTGCAAGATTGGGAGAATTACTTACCTCGAAACAACGTAAGCATCTGTATTGTTAGCTAGAAAATCACATCAACAATCCTAATATGATTTCTAATTAACAAGCAGTTCACTCACGTCGGGCGGAAGCGGCAGCGGCAGGAAGCACGGACACAGCGGAGAGGCGACGCCGACATGGCGGATGTGCACGTGCGCAACCGACTATCTCTCTCGATTTCAAGTGTGTCTCTCGTGCTCTCTTTGAAAATTCTGATCTCTGAAAATTCTGGGAGCCTCCCTCTTGAGTGGGGGTATAATCACATATTTATATCGCAACCTTAGGTTAATTGGCTGGGTTTCCTAGTCCTAATGGGCTTTGGCTTATGCTTTATCCTTTAATTTTTATTTAATTCCAAATTGACTGAATTAATTTGGGCTTTTCTTTAATTAAGCTTAATGGGCTGATTTAAGCTCAAATTAAGACAACCAATGCCTTTTAGACTTGTGATTTTCGGCCCCCGTCTTCCGAGTGAGCCGAGTTTCGTTCAGTGCTCGAGCTCGGTTTGCGCGATGGATTTTCAGTTCACTTGCCACCGCCGGTTCGATGTGGAATGCAGTTAATCTATATGAACCTAAACTACATGATATGCGATTTTGATATTTTTGTTTAGGGGTTAAAATTTAATCCCTAATTTTCTATGCAATTAATCACTAAATGGTTAGTCAAAATTTAGGTGTCAACAGTCACATAAAATGATCTTATATGATTCTTCAAAGTTAAAAAGGGAATTGGTTTCTTTTTAAAAAGGCTCTTTTAAAAAGTAAGAAAGGGTTCTTTTTCTTGCGTTTATACCCGATACTAGAACTTTACCGTGATTTATGGAGCGGGATGGCTCATTAACTTGCAATGCACGGCTCAGAATTGACTTACAAAGACCTCTTTTATATATATATTCCATCATAGCATGTACATGCAAATTACAACAAAACCTGTTCATGCTCCCGAAAATCCCTTTTTTCCAACGTTCTTGCATCATTTAGCTATCGATTAAGATTTCACCTCAAGTACTATGCCTCTCAAGTTGTCTTTCCTTGAGTTCTCATCGTCATGTCGTCTCTTTTTCACATGTGTAGTGCTTTTGCCGTGCATTTGCCTAGTCTCTTCAGCTAATAACATGACAGACAAGCTCGCGTTGCTTGCATTCAAGGCCGCGGTAACTGAGGACCCTTTCGGTGTGCTGAATTCATGGAACCATACGACCGACCACTGTCAGTGGCATGGTGTCACGTGCGGTCGCCTACACCACAGAGTCACTGTACTCAACCTACAAGCCCTCAAACTTTTGGGATCCATCTCCCCTCATATTGGAAACTTGAGCTCCTTGAGAGTCCTGATGATCCACAACAATAGTTTCCATCATGAAATCCCGCAACAAGTCGGCCATTTGCACCATTTACGTGTCTTGCGATTAGCCTACAACACATTGGAAGGTGAAATCCCAAGAAACCTGTCGCGTTGCGCTCGCCTAACATGGCTCCGCCTAGGAGGCAACCGGCTGGTCGGAGAAATTCCCGTTGAGCTCGGTTCTTTGCTGGAGCTTCAGTATCTTGCTTTAATTGGCAACTATCTAACGGGTACTGTTCCTTCATCCATCGGAAACTTGTCATCGTTAGAGATTCTCGGTCTTGCTTGCAATGAGTTAGGTGGGAAGATACCCCAAGCTCTGGGAAAACTAACCAAACTCAGAGTGCTTGAATTATCACAAAATAAGTTGTCTGGCACAATTCCTCCATCTATCTTCAATATTTCTTCCATGGAGCTGCTCAGCATCGATGACAACCAAATAGGAGGGAATATTCCTGCCAATATAGGCTTCACTCTTCCAAACATCGGGATTTTCACCATCGCCGGTAACCGATTCACTGGAGCGATTCCTCGGTCAATGTCTAATGCAACCGCTTTATTGTGGCTACAAGTCAATGAGAACCAACTGTCAGGGAACATGCCTCCTTTGGACCGCTTAAACAAGCTCCAAATATTGCACCTCAATTATAATTATCTGGGAAGCGGAGGATACGGTGATTTGAGCTTCTTTTGCTCGTTGACTAACACCACCAATCTACAGTTGTTGTCCATATATGGAAACAGCTTTGGTGGGACATTGCCTGAGTGCATCGGTAATTTCTCCGTTACTCTTGCGCAATTGACGCTGGGCCAGAATCTACTGTTTGGCACGATTCCTCGAATAGCCAAAAATCTCATCAACTTGCAAAGGTTGCTTTTGGACCACAACAGGCTTTCAGGTACAGTCCCCTCGGTTTTGGGAAATCTTCATAACTTAGTGGAACTAGATTTATCGCATAACAAGTTTTCCGGGGCAATTCCTTCTTCATTAGGAAACCTAGTAAAGCTAGCAGGACTCTATCTCGATCACAATAACTTTCACTACTACATTCCTTCACGTCTATCAGAGTGCCGAAGTTTGGTGGAGCTTGATCTTTCTAGCAACAACTTAAATGGAACTATACCTTCAGAGTTCATAGGTCTCTCATCACTGTCTATACTTCTAAACTTGTCTCGGAACCATCTCGCTGGTGTCCTGCCTAAGGAAGTCGGGAAATTGAATCTTTTGACTCAATTAGATGTCTCTAGAAACATGTTAGAAGGCGACATTCTGGCCAATCTTGGCAGTTGTGTTGGATTGGAAGTGCTCAAAATGCAGGAGAACTCTTTCCGAGGCTCCATTCCTTCATCTATTAGTATGTTGAGGAATGTCAAGGAGCTAGCTCTTTCACACAACAATTTATCCGGTGAAATTCCAGAGTTTTTTGAGGCACTTGACTATTTGGAGATCCTGAATTTGTCGTATAATAACTTCGATGGCATGTTATTAACTAGAGGAATCTTTAATAATGTCAACGCTACTTTTGTCTTTGGAAATGACAAGCTTTGCGGAGGAATGCCCGAATTTCATCTCCCGAAATGCAGCTCTAGAAACTCAGGCCGAAGACTAATCCCTAAGTGGAAGCTCGCCATCTCAATTTTCTTCGGGGCTCTTGGAATAGCTCTTGTTCTTGCCGTTATGTACTCTGGTTGGTTGAAGATGAAGAAAAGAACAGAACCGGCTTCAAGTTCCAAAGATGATTCATCATTGAATCTATCTTAAGGAATTCTCCTTAAGGCAGCCAACGGGTTTTCTTCAAGTAACTTGATCGGGGTCGGCGGTTTTGGATCTGTATACAAGGGAGTCCTTGATGAGAATGGAACTACCATTGCTGCCAAGGTACTTAATTTGACGCTTCATGGTGCTGTGAAGAGCTTCATAACCGAGTGCAAGGCTTCAAGGAACATCTGACACCGTAATCTTTTGAAAGTCTTAACAGTATGCTCGGGCACTGATTACAGGGGCAACGAGTTTAAGGCCTTGATTTATGAGTTCATGGTCAATGGTAGCCTAGAAGATTGGCTACATCCAAGTCCATCATCAGCTAACGTAGATGGGAATGCGCATAAATTGAGTCTCATCCAGAGGATAAATATTTCCATCGATGTTGCTTCAGCATTAGACTATCTCCATAACCACCTTCAAAGCCCTGTTATCCATTGTGATCTGAAGCCAAGTAACGTCCTGCTAGATGCTGAAATGGTTGGACATGTTGGAGACTTTGGTTTGGCGAAGGTCGTGATTGATTCCACCGATGACACTAAAGCGAAAATAAGCTCTGCTGGTGTTAGAGGAACTGTCGGCTATGCTGCTCCAGGTGAGTCTCCTCTCCTCTGTCCCCTAAAGGAAAACGAACAAATTATATTCTAATAATGCCCAAGTGTTTTCGTGCTATTTCCTTTTCCCTCAGCCGCTTGTGCTGCAATTATTTATCTTTTATTTGCAATTGGAATGAAGCGCGAAGCGCAGAATACGGAAAGGAAAGCGTGGTTTCAAGAGAAGGCGATGTTTATAGTTATGGCATTCTTTTGCTTGAGATGTTCACAGGCGTGAGTCCAACAAACGAAAGGTTTCGAGAAAATTTTAACCTTCATAAGTTCGTTAAGGAAGCCTTGCCTGAACAACCCCTAGAGATTACTGATCCTTTTCTACTTCAATAAATGGAGAGCCATATGGGCACCGCCCAAGGCGATGCAGCTCGCGAATGTCTGGAGATGGTCTATAGAATCGGGGTTGCCTGCTCTGTCGAAGCACGCAGAGAGCGGACGAACATCGCGGAAGTTGCAGCTCAGCTGCATTTTATCAGGAATAAACTTCATGCAGCTGGTTTACAAGGATAGGTAATATATGAGATCAATGGCTTTTCTGCCTTTTATTTTCCAGATCATTGCCCTATATGCACCGATGAGCACGCATTCATGTGCCTGCTTGTGTGAATAAACTAAAAAATGCACACATGATTCATCAATTTTCTGGTTTTGTGTGAATCAAAAAGGCATGAATTGCCAACTGAATCACATGAATGCACATCACAGAAATAGAGAATTCATCCTATAGAATCATTGTTACAACTCTAAGGGCAGCATGAGGAAATTCTCGTGATCAAAGCAGTTGACAGGCTAATCATAAACCTCCATCCCTTAAATATGTTCGGCTATGCATTCGCAGTTGCACCAAATTCGATGGATTGCGGACATTTATGTAGCTTTATTAAGAGTATGCTTAAAAATATCTGCTTTGCTGAAAGTATGAATCTACATGTCTCTTCCAGGTTATATGAACCTAGGAGTGCTTGGAGTCGGTTTCTGCAATTTCGGTAGGATTTTTTTCTTCTTCCATGCTTAACACCAGAAAAAGGGGATACATGCTACGTTCGTACAGTAGTGGATTTAGGGAAGGCAACGGTTCTCCGATCTTGGCCTGGCTCAAAATGAGAACTCAACCTTGTCTGTTATTCAATAAAACTCGGGTTTCAGCCCAATTGCTGCAAGAACTGCAAGTAGCTATTTTAATTTGATGACGGCTTGATGCATTCCTTCTTTCGCAAACCTTTTCATGTACAAGTCATCCATGGGGCAGAGCAGGAATTTGAGAAGCAAATCAAATAATCCTATCTGGCTGTCGAAATCGTATTTCTTGTACATGGGCAAGATTTCGCTACTGCAGCTACTGTGAACAATTTGTCCAAGCAGATCAACTATTTTTTACATTTAATGCAAGTTCCAAACTGTTCTTGTTAACGCAGAATCAGAGCGACCTCTTAAGTGAGTGTGAAGTGCCTCTATTGAGATTGTTATAACTCTCTGGGCCGTTGGTGTGGCAATAATTAAAAGTTTTTAATTAAGTGCATTGTCTTTTCATTATACATTTTTCAGTAAAAATTTCCTTTTGCCATCTGAAAACAACTTATTTTCATGCAAAAGACAAAAATTTGAGAAAACTTAGTGGATTTTGTACTTGTGTTTCATTCTATACGACCTCAAATTAATTATCATTGATCCTGTTATAATCTGTTATTCACACGGTTTACACAAAACATGTTCAGACCAAAAAAAAAGTTGGATATTGATAATTGGACATGGAAAAATATCAACTGAATTACCGGCCCTAAGGTAAAAAATGTGAACTCATTTCAGAATATTTCAAGAGCCTCCCAAAAACCTTGAATACATTGGCGTTCCAACTTCCAATCTATTAAAGACATACGTCAAGATTGACATTCAAGTGCATCCTGAGAGACTAAAAGATAGGAGATTGAACAACAACTAAGGCGACCTGGGACTTTTTATGATGTGGGGGCAGCTTTCTGTTTCTTCGGCATGCGATAGCCACCGACGACACAAGCATGGTCTCGCTCAAAGGGCTCGAGAGTAACTTGCTCAAAAGGCTTGAACTGCTCCGCCTGCAGCTTCTTCACTTCCCGGGAAAATACTATCTCGGCAAGAACAGTAGAATCGATACAGTTTGCCTGCAAAAACAAGCACAACCAAAAGGAATTGATACCCATCTCTTCTCGTTGAAGCAACATTTCCAGTGTTTCTTTTTTTCAAGAGGATTGGTTTTCACCCTTCCTCAGATATGATAAGATCATTTCTGATGTCACTGCTCATCTCCTAGGCTTGCAAGAACTTGCACCAGCTACTTTTCGTACTTTTTAAGGGATTATAAAGTGATAAAGAAATATAAGTGTGACCAACAGTCCTCTAATCCAACAAGCTACATCTCAATAATAAAGAAAAACCAAGTGCGCATCTGTCCACAGAGAGAGAGAGAGAGAGAGAGAGAGAGAGATATACCTTAATTGAGATGACAAAGTGACCTCCAGCCTTGAGAAAATATGATGCATTTAGAGCCAAAATTCTTCCCTGAGATGTAACCACATATCATTGAACATCACATATTAACGAGAGACATCTTCTAATAAAGCACTCTAAACAGGTAGAAAGGCTATCCAAGTAACAGACAAATGACCTTGCATTTCTCTCCCTCTGACGTATATTGAACACACTTCATTACCCAGAGCTTAAGTCTAGTGTAACGAGTGCTTCAACAAGTCATGCGAGTGTTTTTATAGTCAGTATTCAATTGATATGTCCAATGCCTAGAGACTTCCGTGAGTATTATCACATGAACTTTTATCATATGTACATACAAAAAGACCTTTCAGGTGATCAGAGAGACAAATCACGTGCATCCAACACCACTTCATAATAAGTCCTGTCATTGCACGCGCTAAGTCAAAAATAATGATAAGAGCATGAGAAATCTGACAGGACATGAGAAAATAATAGAATCGAGACAGTTCGCCTACAAAAAATAAACCACAACCCAAAGAAATTGTTTACCTTTCTCTCCTCAAAAGTAACATTTCAAGTGTTTCTTTTTTCCAAGTATATTGGTTTTTCAACCTGCCTCAACTATGATGGGATCATTCCCGATGTCACAACTCCTGGAGACTTGCAAAAAATTGCACCAGCTACTTGTCTTAACATCTAAGGAATTACAAAATAAAGTGACTAAGATATAGAATTGTGACCAATAATCTGTTACCAACGCATGATTAGGTCGATCCAATGCAATTCAAAACACGAGTTTACCAATTCACTGCGTGTCACAAACCAAAATTATCTAACAGAAGTCGGGCTATGTTTTCAAATTTCACGCCAACTAAGTCCTTGATTGGTGGTCACATGCTCTGATATCGACCGCATGTAACTTCTACAACTCTCTCTCCCAAGTCATCGTTTCTCTCTCCCGAATCAGAGCCATGAGCTCCACCCGTGGCCGCCATCACCATCGTCCTCCCTGGTCCCTGCCACCACAATCATACCTTCTCCGGAGCTCACGGACACCACATCTATCGCCTTAGTCATGAGCCCGTCCTCAAGCCACCATGAGCCTGACCAAGCCCTCTCTCTCTCTCTCTCTCTCTCTCTCTCTCTCTACTTGAACACATGATCAGCCTCGGCGGCCTCAGATCGATGGGAGGTCGCGGGGGAAGGCAGCAACGGGGGTGGGGGAAGAGAGACAGAGAGAGAGAATAGGTGACAATCACGAGGTAGTCCTCTGGCACGTCTGTCGCTCGGTTGTCCATCGCAACATTTTACTTATGCCAGAACACAGTAAACACCCCTCTCAATTCCCATGACTGCTGGTACTTAGACGAGGTGACAGCTGACACTACTTGCGAAGAACAACTTCAATGCAAGTACCCATTTTTATTGTAACTTTAGCCTCTGTTGCTATGGTCTTTAATACAGATTTTGGACTTCTCTCAAGTGGCAATGCACTTATTGTCGCAGAAGGAGAAGAATGATCTGAATCTGTCACGCCCTGAACCCTATCGAGCACGCGACACACTTCTCTGATCGATTAATACGACATTCCAGGGTATCGCCGACCTCACTTATAAATATCAGAGATTTTAAACGATCAGCGGAAACCACAAATACCCGGACAATTTAAAACTGGGGAGAATAGGGAGAATGCACATATTCGTTTCTCATTCAAACTCATATAATATTCACAATTTACAAACCACCAATATACATATGCACACCGTACTATAACTACCGATATCAAAAGGATCGATGACTTGTATGTTCTATCCTCAAAAATGGTACACCTCCAAAAAGTCTAATTTCAACCCCTACGCTAGCCCTTACGTCCTTTGCTCGGCGTCCATTCCGAGTCCGATTCTTCGTCCTCTGAACCTGAATTCCCCTGAACGGTCTGTTCCTCTGAGGACTCTGGCTCAGCCTCAATCTCAATCGGGTGATTTATGTCACTCGACTCCGCTGGGACCTCAATCCGCCCCTCCGAGTCGGACTTCTCATCAGACCCGTACTCTAGTACAAATTCAGGGTCAATCCACTACTCATACGGGGGAATGTACACCGATTCTTCTTCTGGCTCGTCTTCAGGTTCATTCTCGGGTTCGGCCTCGGGCCCTTCCTCTTCCGGTCCTTCCTCTGGGATCGGCTCGAGATCCACGTCCATTGGATCATCTCCCGCTAGAGACTCTTCCGGCTCCCGTTCGTGCTCAGCCCCTGAAGACCCCGGTACTGCAGGCGCTGGCTGCAGTCCAAACTGCGCCAAGCTAGTCTCCACACTAGTCAATTCGCCATCAGGAGAAGGTATAGCAGACGGGTCCCAGTCCCCAACTCCTGTGACATCCTAAAATCCGTCCATTTGGGATTTATGAATACTGGGTTTTATGAACGTACTCGTAGTTAGTTCTCGCCCGGAACTGATCATTCCTGGGATGCTAACTATTAGGGAAAGGCTAATTAGGGATTTAAATTCGTGCGACTAAGAGAAAATTCGATTGTGAATTGATTTTCGACTATCAAATCGCCGAGGTGACATTTTGAGCCACTGTTGGCCGATCCAAGGATAGCCAGGGGTCAGTTCGCCATTGTCATAGTAGTGGATCGCGGGTGATTCCGCTGGACCACGAAATGAATTGACGAATGATCCTGAACCTATACCAAACGATCGTGCCCCTCGGATCTAGCAGTCGATTCTCGCGATTTAAATGACAATCGAAATCATCACGAACCGAATGAACTTGCACGTGACTCGATTTGTTATCAGTCACGGGTCGAATATGCGAATTTCCCCAAAAAGCCGCCCGTTAGTTTGAGAAACGCTCGAGTTGCGTTTAATAAAATTTAATTATTTAATTGAGCTCAAATTGGATATCGAAAAATTAGGAAATCACGATGGGACATTATGACGACGTTGTGGTTGGAACGTGCAACTTTGGATTTTCCCGAATCCTTCAGAGAAATTCAATTTTGGCGAGAAATGAGGAAAGT